TAGTGTTTTCTACTCCAGGTTTTTCATTGCTTACTGAATACCAACCTGTTCCTTTTCTAGATCTGCCCTTTGTCACTGTTGGCTTCTTCTTCACAGTTGGTGCCTGAAAAGCAGAATGTTCTCTCCACCTGCGAAGCTGAAAATTAATGAACTTCCACATCATGAATGCTTGGGTAATGCAAATCGATGCCAGAACAGCAATTCTGAGAATATGAAAAAATAAACAAAATATCAGAGTGCATCAAAACAATGCTACTTAAAAAAGTGGTCTATCTTGTTTTGATAGTATTAATTTAGTGCTGAATTCCCAAGTAATTATTCCATTAATAATTTAATCCCAGAAGTTAAATAAATGGTTTGACATTTAAATTTAGACATATAAAGCAGGTATGAAATGAAATGAGTATTTTCCCTAACCTCCATATTTTTTAGGTATTTCATGGCATAAACTGCTAATACATACTATACAGCTGTGCAAAGTGAGAAAGATCTTAAATGGACTGTACCTTACGCCCAGCACATTGAAGTTTCCAGTACTGAAATCCAGCTTCTGGTTCTCTGCTCTTGCAAGGCCAAAGCCAACAGTGAGTACTGAAAGAATTAAAGTCAGAAGTCTTCCCAAAACAAACAGAACTGCCCACAGAGAAAAGCTGGAAGAAAAATGTCAGAAGTCAAATTCATAAAATTGCAACAATAAGAAAATATTCTAGTAGGAATCAGACTCTATTAAGTAAATGCATATTAAAACAACATTTGTTATTTTCCTGCAAAAATAATTCTGCAAGTAAAATATTTGGAAGATGCTGCATATCACACTCTCAGAGGTACACATTAGCATATTTAAGGTTCTAGGAGGTCCAGTAAAGAAACATTTTATTTTTTGTTTGGCTAATCCTCTTTTTACTCCATAGAATGACCTTCACAACTCCTGGTATGTATAGTAATTTTGAAAACTACTGGAGAAAACACAACAAAAGCTGTGTTGTAAGTAGGACCCCAATTCTCATTTAAGAGTCCTAGTTCTACTTTTTTTTTTTTAAAGACTTTACACTCTTTACAATACCGCTTCAATTCTCTTTTCAGTTCAATTTTACCATCAAAATATTTTCATATTTTTAAGGTTATATAATTTATTATTTTATTTTCTTCTGAAAGTTCACTTTCTTATAATACCTCGTCCAAGAGAAAAACATGCATTAAAAGCAAGACTGGAGAAGTTAGGAAAGTATACTCAAAAAGCCTTCAGGGTTACAAGTTCCCACATAATATCTCTCCAGCTAAAAAAAGACCCCATTTAGAGAAAATACCCACCTGAGTTGCTTTTAGTTTCATTTTATTTAAAGCTGCTACTAACAACGTATGAAGTAATGTAACTGCCCACAGTATGGGCCTTGGCAACATAGGCACTGGCTTTAATTACAACAGAAACAGAATGGCTAACCAACTTACCCTTTCTGATACTTTTCATCAGTGAAATAAAACAGGCGGGAAATGTGGAAAAGAAATTCCACAAAATAATGTGGCACCAAAAGAACAAGTCCTAGATGATTCAAGCTGTTAAAAGAACAAATTTAAAATGTAAAGGTTACTTATCAACTAAGACAGATTAGCATACTATACACACCCAAGAAAAATCCTAACTTACTTCAAAAGATAAGCTCCGGCGATGTGAAAGAGGTAAAGACCTATGTAGACAAGCTGCCGAGGAATATCCTCCTGTAAACAGAAAACTGCATTGTAGGTGAAACGTGCTGACATATTTCTGTTCCTTAGGAGCACTGTGGTAGGGTGAGAAATGGACTATGAGAGAGGACCTGAGGGTATTCTGCCACTTCCACCCTACCCCAACTGCTCGTCCCAATCAGCAGCATGATTTAGCAAGTCATTTAATTTCGTTTGGCTTCAGCTACCTCATCTGTAACGTGTGACTAATACTTGGGTTTGCCAGAGTCAGATGAATTCAAAATCCCTTGCATGCTAAGATCTATAGTTCTTTTGATAATAAACATTTATTAGATGACACACTATTTTTTTAAAATATATTTTATTGATTTTTCACAGAGAGGAAGGGAGAGAGATAGTCAGAAACATCGATGAGAGAAAAACATCAACCAGCTGCCTCCTGCACACCTCCCACTGGGGATGTGCCTGCAACCCAGGTACATGCCCTTGACCAGAATCGAACCTGGGACCCTTCAGTCCGCAGGCCGACGCTCTATCCACCGAGCCAAACCGGTTTTGGCAGATGACACACTATTAATTCCCATGATAATGTCCTTCTAATATTAAAATTGCTATGGTTAGAGGTAGAGAGGCTTTTGTTTTACCTAAAACAGTATTTACATTTTTTAGGTCATGCTTTTAATTCCTTTCACTATCAGTTATAGTCACTAAAACCAAAGGTTAAAATTTTATCTTCTCACTTACGAAACTAATTGTTTATTCTTCCTTCTTTTCTTAATAACCCTCTAAGCCACGTATTCACATTTAATTCTGTTTCTCTTTTATTCTCCCACAGTCCTAGAAGCCTAGTTATCTTAGAAACAGTGTTTTTTAAAAATGTAAGTCAAGCCCTAGCTGGTCTGGCTCAGTGGATAGAGTGTCAGCCTGGGACTGAAGGGTCCCAGGTTCAATTCCAGTCCAGGACACATACCCAAGTTGTATGCTTGGTTCAAGTGGGGGCATGCAGGAGGTAGCCAATCAATGATTCTCTCATCAATGATGTTTTCAACTCTCTCTCCCTCTCCCTTCTTCTCTGAAATCAATAAAAATATTAAATAAATAAATAAATAAAAAATGTTAAGACATACTAGTGGATCATAAAATCAATTTAGGGAGTCACACTAACCTCTTTTAAAATATGAAATGGAGCCCTAGCTGGTTTGGCTCAGTGGATAGAGCGTTGGCCTGCAGACTGAAGGGTCCTGGGCTCAATTCTGGTCAAGGGCACATGCCTGGGTTGCAGGCTCGATCCCCAGAGGGGGATGTGCAGGAGGCAGCTGATCAATGATTCTCTCTTGTCATTGATGTTTCTCTCTCTCCCTCGCTCTTCCTCTCTGAAATCAATAAAAAATATTTTAAAAAAAGAACAAATGATTAAAAAACCCTATAAGAATTAAAAAAAAACAGAATAGAAAATGCTAGAGTGTAGAGTAAGAAAATTTTATTCCAGATTTTACACACACACACACACACACACACACACACAGAATCATGACATAAAATCTAGTTTTCATTTTGGGTTGCAGTGAAAAATATTTGTAAAATACAGTGATGGGCCCAATAAATACTTGCTAATTTATGAAATGCCTGTACCTTGCATTTCTACTCTCCTAATTTTGGCAGTTTTCCCTATACAGTTATCCCGTGGCATTTCCAAAGTTCATTTACACCACTTTGAGTTTATGGAAGCCCTACATTAGCATCTGCTTTCATAACCGAAAGAAATCTCAATAGGATTATATAAAAAATGGCCACAAGTGAAGAGCATTTAGCATGTCTGGCAGTGAGCCTTAGAGAAGAGCAGGCAGACCCCCAAGCTCCTTCCCCAGGAACTACATCCAGCATCTCAGCATGGAGCCACCATAGCTTTGAACTGTGTCTAAGAGCATCTGTGCTTTATCTTGAGTTACTTTGTGCAGCCATTAGCAAGGTAATTGCTGCTTTGCTTTATGGCATTTCTTTTTGTGAAAGAAATGGAGCACTCTATTTTTGGATAGTGGGAGAAACCTGTGTGTGTGTGTGTGTGTGTGTGTGTATGTATATATATGGCTATGTTAGTCGTTTCAGTAGAGTTACTTCATCGAGTCTTCTGACAAAGAGTAGAGATTTTATAAGTGTACTTTTGAACTTGAAAACTCTCCTGTAGTAATAATGGTACAAAGATCAAGTGTTAAAGGTGGAACATAAGACAGTCTAATGGTCCTATAGACATAACTATGTTTGGGGACTTTCAGGGAAAATTCCTAGACATAATGCCAGGTTTATAGTGGTTAGTACAACTGGAGAGAGAAGTATCTTTGAGAATAAGCAGTCTTAAGGTCCTTTCCAAATAATTTTCTAACTTCTGATAATATTTCTCCTTACCAAAGGAGAGAAGAGAACTTCTTTCTTCTGTTATAATCACTTCAGAACAGCTCAGTTATAAATGTAATTTGATATGCTATATACATGATTGATATATGATATGCTATGTATGATTTTGTTACGTAAACTTTTCCTATCAGGAATCAGAAATGAGGCTTTACTTTTTTGTTTGTTGAGAGATTAACAAACATTTCTGCCCTAGCCAGATGGCTCAGGTGATTAGAGTATTGTCCCATACACCAAAAAGGTTGCGGGTTCGATTCCGGGTCAGAGCATATACATAGGTTGTGGGTTCGATCGCCAGTTGGGACGAGTATAAAGTAACCGATCGATGTTCCTCTCTCTCTAAAATCAATAAACATATCCTTGGGTGAAGATGAAAAGCAAAAAAAAAGTTAAACTTTTTTATACTCTAATGGAAAAATATATAATGAAAATGTGTTAGAAAAGCTTTGCTAACTATTTATATATTCTTAATGCTAATGGTCATGTAGTTTACATAAGAATGAAATAATGGAATGATGACTTAAAATTCTGATTCTAATGTTTCAAGGAAAATAATAAATATAGAACACTAAGTCAAACCAAATTCTAAAATTATAAATAACTTCAAGTGACATTTTTGGTTGTTATTCTAACAACTTTTAATTAGAAAGGTCAGCCATATACTTTAGTGAATTTCTATTTTTCTAAAAAAATGCTTTCTTAACTATACTGTACTACAAAACAAACTTTACTTTAAACTGAGCATTATATATATGCCAAAACGTAAGGCAAAGCTCACTCCTTAAACCACAGATGGAGCCATCTCATATTTAAATCTTTCCAAAGCTCTCACAGTATAGTAATCTATACTGATAATAGCCTTAAAAACCTTAGTCAAACCCTAGCCAGTTTGGCTCAGTGGATAGAGAGAGCATCGGCCTGAAGGTTCAATTCCGGTCAAGGGCACATGCCTTGGTTGTGGGGTCGATCCCCAGTGTGGGGCATACAGGACACAGCCAATCAGTGATTCTCTCTCATCACTGATGTTTCTATACTTTCTATTATACACAATTATATGTATGTATAACTAAATAAACTAAATATCAGAAATAAAACATTTGGTTGTTTCATCCATACTTCCCTGAAACTTCATATATTCAATTTGGCTAAGAAATTACATTTTGGCCTGGCTGGTGTGACTCAGTGTTTGAGCATCAACTTATGAACCAGGAGGTCACGGTTGGATTCCTGGTTAGGACGCATTTCCCAGGTTTCAGGTTCAATCCCCGGTAGGGGGTGTGCAGGAGGCAGCCAATCAATGATTCTCTCTCATTGATGTTTCTATCTCCCTCTCCCTCTCCCTTCCTGTCTGAAATGAATAAAAATATACTTTAAAAAAGGAAATTATATTTTGAATTTTTTCATAGGCAAAATGGTGGATTGTTGTTTATAGTGAAACGCATTTCCCAGGTTTCAGGTTCAATCCCCGGTAGGGGGTGTGCAGGAGGCAGCCAATCAATGATTCTCTCTCATTGATGTTTCTATCTCCCTCTCCCTCTCCCTTCCTGTCTGAAATGAATAAAAATATACTTTAAAAAAGGAAATTATATTTTGAATTTTTTCATAGGCAAAATGGTGGATTGTTGTTTATAGTGAAGCACATATATGTAATTAAAATATTCTCAAGAAAAACTGAGTTATTCATGACTAACATACCTCTTGAACTGCTAACAGTGTTCTGTTCTTTCTTCACTTCTCTGTAGAATTGTTTCAAAACTATCACTATGCTAGTTTCTTCCAGTAAAGATTTCTTCCAAAAATAATTTTCTGAGTAAATTTTAAGAAACTGTTTAACACATATACAGCTGTTACTTTCAAATTATGTTAATTACTTGGAACAGTTACTTTTGACTGTAATATGTAGGTGTTAAAAATAGTTTCAGTTAAGTTCTAAGTTATGCAAATTATTCCATAAAAATTAGATTGCATTTCTGGAGAAATGCCATCTGGGAGGAACTGATAAGAACTAAAATGAACAATTACTTTGAAAGATCCCTATTTACGTACATGATCAATGACCAAACTATAGAATATGGATTAATAGTAAAACCCAGAGGTATGGGTATACAAGTATATGAAGAAAGCTTTCAATACTTGAGCCCTGGCACTAAGACATCAAGAAACTATGCTTTTCAGCAGCGCTGTCCTAAAGCACTTTCTGCAAGGATGGAAACTTCTCCATCTCTGGGCAGTGTAGCCACATGCAGCTAATGGGAATCTGAGATAGGCCTCGTGTGACCAAGAAAGTGAATTTTGTTTTTATTACATTTTAAATGGGACCAGTGGCTACTGTCCCAGCGTATCTCTAGGACATCCATGGTTCACACTGAGAGCTTACTGAATATGGAAGGGCTACTGGAAATTGGGAGTCTACAAATTTTATCTTCAGACAATTTGAAATCAAAGGTTTTATGGATCATCATCCTAATCCTTACAATCAACTTAACTAGAAAAACATTCTACTTGATAAAAGAAATCAACATAAGACTCTAATGTGGTGCTGTTTTTTCATAGTAGCAGAAACATCAATATGACAGCCACATAGAACACAAAAAAACACAAACACAAAACAGTAGTAAATCAAAACACTATACTCATGAAATCTTTGTAGCACATATAGAAAGAAGTGACTGTGGTGATTGAGGAGGCAGAGATAAACTGGTCATTGGAAGGGTTGTTACATTTCTATTTGGGAAAGCTTCTTAAAGACAATGACAAAATGTTTTAAATGTGGAAAATGTATACATATGTACATATAAAATAGGGGGTTAAATGAATCCTCACGTAACCATAACCCAGCTTCAATAGTTGCTAACTCATGAGCAAACTTGCTTCATCCTTATCTTCATCCATGTACAATTTCATATATGGGAATTTTAAAATAATCTCTCCCCCCAAAAGGGAATAAAAGTGCTTCATTAATTTATCATAGGGAAAAGGTATTCCAGGAAAAAGAACTGATGTGCTGGGGTTATAAAATTAGAGATTAATGGGAATGAAGCACAGGAGAGAGCAGAAGAGAAAGGGACCAGAGAGGGAAGCTCAGATGAGGGACCCTTAGAGCACAGGCCAGTAGCTCTACTTTAGTTTAAAGTAACAGGGAGCTAGCGTAGATTTTAGAGGAGAAAAAGTTCAATAAAGGAAATCAAGTTGCTTTGTAATATCACGGAAGTCTGACTTCAGAAGTATGGAGGGTAAAGCTGGAAAAAAGAAAACTGCAGTGCCCAGGAGTTTATTTGTCCAGATAAAACAAACACCTCTCCCACATGCTAAAAAGGGAATGCTCCACCCAGGTCAGGAAAAGCCTCACTGGTGAATATTTAACTGTGGTTTACTTGTTTCAATACTGAATTTTCCTTTGGGAATTACACACAGAACCGTTAGTTGTGGTAAATCTGATTAATCCTTATGTCAATAATATAAAATTAATATTACATTTCAAAATTTAATTTATTTAAATTACTAGTAACAATTTTAAAACAAGCAATTAGCATGTCTAATGTAAAAGACCCCCCTCTAAGTAAAAACTAAAGCCCCCCCCCAATAAATACTTAAGGATACCTAGTCTTTGTGGAAAGAGGGGAGCTGGGAGAAGAATGGGGGAAGACTTGAGGTAAGAGGGAGGTTAGAGACACGAAAGGAAAAAAAAATGACAGATAATTTTAAAATCACAAAATCCCAGCTTACTTTTTTGGTTTTCTGGAAGTAGAGCTCAGGAAAAGCATGAAACCAGTAAGCCAACTGTAATATGTAGAAAAACTTCACCTGAAATCTGTGTAACACAAGGAAGTAAAAAATACATTTTAAAGCCTGATATTTTTAAAGACTAAAGTTAAAAATGAACATTGAAAATGAGGATATACTAAGTATTTATGCTTGCACTATCATTTCAGGTGCCCTTACAATTAATACTCTATGCACCTTTCAACAACTCTCCCTCAGCCACTTCCCCTATCTCCCCGGGATATTTCCACCACCAGTCAATTCCTCTGGATTAAGCAGCAGAAGCAAAGACATCATCTGAAGAACCCTGTAAACATGCAAGCTAGCTGGAAGGAACCAAAGCCCTGGGTCTATTAGATAATTAATACTGATTCATGTGTCATGTTAGCTACTGAACACATACGGATCATGACTGAGGGACTCAAACCACAGATCTAGAAAGTTTCATGAAAAGGGAAGTGGGAGCCGGGCCAGCATGGCTCAGTGGTTGAGCAGCGACCTATGAACCAGGAGGTCATGGCTCAGATTCCTAGTCAGGACACATGCCTGGGTTGTGGACTCAATCCCCAGTAGGGAGCATGCAGGAGGCAGCCAATCAATGATTCTCTTATCATTGATGTTTCTATTTCGCTCTCCCTCTTCCTTCCTCTCTGAAATGAATAAAATTAAAAGGGAAGTGGGAAAGGCATAAGACTGACATAAAAGCAAAGGCACACAGATTAAAAATCACCTGAAACTAGAATAATCCCAATTTCAAATATCCCCTGGCTTTTCTCTTAGTGAAATATGGTAACTCTACCTGGATGGAACACTGAGAGTCCCAAATAAATGGAGGTCAACCAGGATTAAAAAGAGCAATAAGGCAAAGAAGGTTCCCCGAGAGATATAGTCTAATCAGCCTGAAATCACTAGTCTCCTCTTTACACTGTACCCTCTAGTCCCTCCTGCTGTCTCTATTCTCCCTTCTCCTCCTCCTCCAGAGTCTAAAATAGAAACCTCAAAGCTAATGTGAAATAATTTCCAGGGAGGGGGGAGGGAAGAAATACAGTCCCACATAAATATGATGTTTATAACCCATTCTATAAAAGTTCATTGAATTGATATAACTTTAAAAAGTCACATGATTCAGCAGAGTGGACATTACTGCTGGCCTTGAAGATATGGAGACATGCCCGGCCATGGCACTCCCTTCACATCTTTTCTCCAAGTCTAGGTGAGAAGCACCTACAGCCCGGCATGACAGAGGACAGAGAATAAACAGAGTTTCTACTGCTGTCAAGGCACACAGTCTTGGTGGGCATGGGCACAATATAAGACTTACATAAATGACACAACAATATATAGATACTACATAAAATATTATACATCACAATGACAAATTCAGAAAAGCAAAAAATAATACAGGCTAAGTATGAGAAAAATCTGGAATAGCTGTTCTAGAGCTTAGCTTGAAGAATGAATAGTATAGTTGAATGCCTTTGCAGCCAATAAGCTTCTTAAAGCACCATATAGAAACCTTGGGGGCTAGAAAGAAACAATTCCCACTCTCAAGCTTATAGTATAAGAGAATAAAAGAGTGAAAGAGTGAAGAATCTGAGGCAAAGAAAAAGAGCAAACCTATGGAGAAGATGGAGCAGGAAAGAGGAGAAAGGATGAGGGAGAAGAAAGGGACACGAGTACTAAATTAGAGATTGTTATAATCAGAATTCTCAAGCTAACAAACATACTGAAAAGATTACATTCATGAAAAAAGCACACAGGAATTTTTTTCCTATGGCAGCAGCCTGCCAAAGACATACTATTGTATGCATTCGCCTAAAGTTCTAAAGAGACTAAGAATGAATTCTGCTTAAAAGTGACATGACATGATCATGGTCCTTAATTAAGAAAAGCCTGCTAGAAATAACTTACGTCATCAGGTTAGGGGGATAAGACCTCCACAAGATAGTTGGGTCTGAGATGTAGTTTTCCTAAGAAAGAAGATATAAAAATTAGTCTATTAGTATTATGCAAACTTCTTGGAAAATAAGACAATATTTTCATTTCTTAAACTCCCTATGTCAAGTTCTAAAGAGCAAAGTCAAACTCTTCAGTTGTTTTAGTTTTGTCAACTCAGCTGAATTGCTTACTTTAGTGAAGTGAAAATCAATGGATGTTCGAAGTCAAATAAGACATAATTCTTGGCCTTCTAAATTCTTTCAGTTCAGTAGAGTAAAAAATGAATGTATACAAACGAACATCAACGAACCAAAAAAACAGAAATAGTCCATAACAGAGGTACAATAGCTGCAGGGGAGATGGATTATATCTTGGGTAATCAGAGGGTTTTGGGAAAGAGGTAGCCAGGAGATGGAAGATCAAGGTGCTGCCAAGTTTTATTGATTATGTCCACATAGCCACCAAATCTTTTTCTTAGATAACCATACTAGTCAGTGAGAATTGTTGCGCAAGGAAAAAAACTAAAGTGAACCATCTTTAATAAGAATTTTTTCCCAATGAAATACAACACTTAGTTTTTATCACTTTTAGTTTTTAAAACAAATCTTCAAGATAAAATTCACTTTGCTTATTTATTTATCTCTAACATGGTAGCTAAAAAATTATGTGTCCTGACATTAAAAAATATGTTAACTCAGGAGTACTAATACTAAGGTTGATACTGCTTTCCCCCTCATTAGTTAGAATGATACATTTAAAGGTTTAGATTGCCTTAACTGCAAAGCTAATCAACAATTTAAGTTGCCTGGAAAATATCTGAACTGTTTTTAAAGGAGGAAATGGCTAGAAACATTACAACTAATGTAACCTAGCATAGGTATCACTGACATCTTACCCTTTGTGCTAATACAGAGATGCCTGAAAATGACTACAAGATATAAAATAACATTCAACTGACTGCAATAAGGCTTTCTCAAGCATTAAACATGGTTTAGAATTTTTGCTGTATAAAAACTAAGACAGACTTATCCATGAAACTTGCTTTACATTAGTTCACTAGTAGAATACCTAATCTTATATAGCAATAGAAGAGAGATTTTCTAAGGTTTAGGGTTTGCTTACATTAAAAAATAGAACAGGATTTCATTTTCTGTTCTGGGTATATAATGTAAATACTTCTAAGAAATGAAAATGTAAGCATAGCATATACTTACAGATACTAGAATGAATGTGCCCCAAATACAAGAAAAGAGGTAGAATGCACTAAGCTGACCAGATTCATTAAACTTGCTGTGTTTCGTTTTGGAGAAGTGCATTCGCCTGTTAATTTTCTAAAAATAAAAACAATCAATAATTAAGATTATAAAATATATTTAATATGACAATCACAGTATGGAGAGCGAGTATTTTACAAAGTATAGATTTCTAAGATTGTATACTTACATCCAACACATACTCTTGAATTATGGCATGAACAATTATCGCCACTAGCATGTAGAAGAAAATTGTAGCCAAATCTTTGATACCATAGTAATAAAAAGATGCTGATTCAGTAGCTTGTTCTTCTGAAGGCCAAAAAGGACAGGACACACATACACAAAAATATACATGAGATTATAAAAACAGCACTAAGTACAACATAGTTATGGAAACGAACAAAAGATGATTAACCTAATAAATAAGTACTACAGAAACACCATGGTAATTTGCTTTTGGACATCTTGAGTCATGGCAACAATGAAAATTGAGGAGACTATCTAGGAATTGAAAGCTTCAAAAATTACTTACAAAGACTTGACACATGTTATGTTAGTCACAGCCATCAAAAACCAAAAAACAGGAGGGGGTTGGCCACACTCAACTCCTTGGGAAGATTGTAAAATTGACATTATCCCAGGCGTAGAGATTAGGTTACACTTAGCCCATTTGCCTGTATTTTTAAAGAACTTTTGAAATTTTCTACTTTCTACCTCTACTTTCCAACTAGACATCTCATGATGATTCTGAAGGAAAAAGAGATTTAACCTGTATTTGATTTAGTTTTGATCTATACACCGCTTCTTAAAATTGTTTTTAATCCTTGAAATTGCTGTAATTGTTTAGAACAAAGCTTAATCAAATACTTAGGAGTTGGTAAGGTACTTCATTTTTCTCTGGCTTATTCAAATTTCAAAACAACTTTGTGGTTCTCAGTTATCTGATATCTAAATCACTAAGTCAAATGTTTACAAAACTTTATATAATGGGAAAAACCCAACTCAATGTTACATAATTCATCTTACATTTTATTTTATTTTTAAATATATTTTTATTGATTTCAGAGAGGAAGAGAGAAGGATAGAGAGATAGAAACATCAATGATGAGAGAGAATCATTGATCGGCTGCCTCCTGCACGCTCCCAACTGGGGATCGAGCCCACTACCCAGGCATGTGTCCTTGGCCGGAATCAAACCTAGGACCCTTCAGTCCGCAGGTCAACACTCTATCCACTGAACCAAACCGGCTAGGGCTCATCTTACATTTTAAATAGAGAAATTCAGGGCAAGTTTACTGCCTGAATATGTTAATATTTTATGAACTGAACACCCCATTCCTCCCCCATGCTAGTTAGTTATATTACTGTTTTCAACTACAATCAACTTCCAGTAACAACTTGATTTTCACATAGCATAATTTAGAAAAACCTTTTTGAAATGAAACCTAAAAGTATAGTTTGGGTGCCATTACCAAATTACCCCTAGAGCTTTCTGACATCCTAATTGAAATAATGTTATAGGTAGAGCACGACAAAAAAGCTGAAAATAAAATAGGCTTAAAAGGATTGTTATTATAGGTCTAAATCATAACTCACTGGTTGGGAAAACTGAAACTAAACATTGTGCCTTCAGAAACCTTGGGTGAACAATGATATTTTAAACAAATGTAAAATATCTATGCTAAAGGGAAGAGAAGGCAAAAAGAAAAGTTCTTTGACAGAATTTCAAGCTCATTTACAAAAATGTACAACAAACACTAAACACATAAAAACTGATTTCCATATAGTACATAGGGTGAAGTCAACCAAAAACATCAGATCTTACATTACAAAAATATCAAAATAATGTTGTCTAATCATGAATGAGATTTGTGAAAATTAATGAAGAACCTAGTGTTCACGGAAATTTCCCAGTTTCCCAGGTTCCCAGAAAGTGAACCTTTCTACTTAAGTAGACAATTCTAAAAGAAAGCTACTTACCTGTTGCAGGGAGGGTAACATTGTACTGAAGAGTAACAAAAATGATAGCAACTTTTGCTGATATCTAGAAAGAAAAAAAAAAAGATCAAGTCAATTTGTGACCTATCAATAGTTGATCAGGGGGAAAATATTACAGCTTCTATCCCCAAATCTAAGAACCAAGGGCACCCTAGTTCCTGCAGCACCCTGAGAGGCACAAATGGAATTCTTGATCACCAAGGAACTGAGGATGGGAGCTCACAATAAGAGCATTCTGCAGTTCACATGAGATTGTGTAATTCACTCCTAACTTCAAGAGTTCAAAAGAAATACTCTCTGCAGATCCACTAAATGGTGATTTGAAAGATAGTTTCTCTACTCTAGACTAATGAACACACAGGTCCTAGCAAGAAAAAAATGTTAATGTAAATTAAAAGAAATGGGAACACAGTAGCCATGACAAAGATCAAAGGGCTTGTGGTGTATATGGGTTGATCTCCCACACACCTGGCATAACTAAGTGGTCAATAAATATTTAGCTGACCCAACTACTGGTAAAAGTAAAGCGGTCAGAAAAGAAATACTGAATGCCTACTGAATATTTATAGGTACCAGGCAAAAAATAAAACAAAGGTGAATGATACAATCCTTGATGACTACGAGCTTAGTTGGGCCAGGAAGACAAAATTATTATAATACTATAGCATCAGTGCCAATGGATATTCAGAATAAACAAACTGTTTTTGTTTTTTTCTTGGGTGGGGAATGAGGCATGTTCTAGAAAGGTTTCTGAGAGGATGTGGTGAGGGTGAGGGAGTTGTCTCATTGGAAAATAAGTTGACGAGGGGGATGAAGAGGGCAGTGTAGGCAGAAGGGACAGAAAGTGCAAAAGTTAAATAGCAATAAACACAGGCCTGGCATGGGCACACTTCAGAAGTGGTAGAAAAACCTAGACAAGCTATCAGTGCTAGAAAGGACCTTGTTCCTTGATCTAAGTAAGTTTAGATTTTATTTTAGACCGGAGAATTTTGAGGAGAGGAAAGTTCACACGTGCTTTTTAGTAGCTGGCTGTGGCTAACTAAGTGGTTTCTCAAGTCTCCTTGGACCCAGACTCCACACTGCAACCAGAATCATCTTCTGATCATATTAACACATCTCCCCATGGGCACCCTCCTCCCGAAAATCCTTCACTAGATTCCTGATCTTTCTCAGATGAACAAAATCTCCAATGTGCCCCAAACAACAATCCATGGTCTGACCCCTCCCCTCGGCCTCCAGCATCCAGCCTCATCTCGGACCATTTCCTCCTGTTCTCTTGTCTGTGGCATTCCTCCTATCACAGGGTCTGTGCAGCTCTACCTAAAACTGCTAGGAAACCTTCACCCTTCAGATCCTAGTTCAGTCACACCTTTTCAAGGAAGCCTGTCTTGTCCTTTAGAGCAGGTCATTTCCTTTGTTAGATTATCTCAGAGAACTGTCTTCCTTTCAAAACACATACTCTTGATGTAATTATATTAACAATTTCTGTCTCACTCATTAGAAAGTAAGCCCCGTAAGAGCTGGGACCATGCCTGTTTCTGCTCATCATCATATGCTAGAGACTAGCATGAGGCCTGGCACATATCAGGTGATGGCTCATTATTACTGAACTAGAGGCCGGTGCACGGATTCGTGCACCAGTGGGGTCCTTCAGCCTGGCCTGCGGGGATCAGGCGAAACTGGCTCTCCGACACGCCCCCCCCCCAGGGGTCCTGGATTGTGAGGGCGGTTATTGGGTGATGCACCCCAGAATCAGGCTCCCTCCTCTCTGGTTCCGGGTGCATCTGCCAAGAACCACAGCTGCCAAGTCACCACAGCTCAACAGCTCCTGCGTTGAGCGTCTGCCCCCTGGTGGTCAGTGCATGTAATAGCTACCGGTAGGATGGTCGAATGGTCACTTTGGCTTTTTTATATATACACACACACACATATACATACTAGATACAATATAATCTGGAGTAAGTATGCAAGCCAAGTATAAAACTTCTGTAAGAGAGCACATGAAAGATAATAAGGCCCGAACTAAGGCAGTGGTAGTAGGATAGAAGTGGGACTTTTGAAGCAGAATAAGGCTTGGTAAGCAAGAGTCAATGATTATGTATTGATGCTTACAGCCTACGTGAAAAGTAATGGTATTAATAAAAATGTGAAATACAGAAGGAACAGCAGGTTTGAGGAAAAAGAGAAGAAACTGAGTTCTAGATAAACTTAGATTTCTGTAGGCAGCTAAAGCCTAAGTCTGGAACTCTGCAGGGAGACGCTAGCTTAAAGACTTGGGCATCGCCAAAACCGGTTTGGCTCAGTGGATAGAGCTTCGGCCTGCGGACTGAAAGGTCCCAGGTTTGATTCCGGTCAAGGGCATGTACCTGGGTTGCGGGCACATCCCCAGTGGGAGATGTGCAGGAGGCAGCTGATCGATGTTTCTCTCTCATCAATGTTTCTAACTCTCTATCTCTCTCCCTTCCTCTCTGTAAAAATCAATAAAATATATATATATAAAAAAAAGACTTGGGCATCTCTATTTACAGGTAGTAACTGAAGTTGTTGAAAGTACATAAATCATCTATGGACAGGGTACAGTATTCATAGACAAATAGCACCTCAGACTGTGGAGTGGGCACAGAAAAAGCTGGTGGCAAAATAAGAAATGATCAGAGAGGCAGAAAGAGAATGAAGAGAGCTTGATGCCCCAAAAGCCAAGGGGGAAACATTTCAAAAAGGTGTGGTTAATGAAGTTAAAGTTTCAAAGAACACGTGGCGGGAAAAGAGTACAATGGAACAGACAATCTTAGAAGTCGTGGTCGTGGCTTGAGTCGTCTCAACAAAGTAATGAGAGTGAAAGCCAATCACAGTGAACTGAGGAACAGAAGAGGAACACAGTGGTACCCAGTGACAGATGCCAGGTCAGGATTTATGTTGTTTTTATGATGGGAGAGACTGAGCTTGCGTGGGGGCAACATGAGTGTATGCCTTTCTCTGGCAATTTTTAGCAATCCACAAATGGGGAGGCACAGGAAAGGCAGATGGCAGGCTGGGAAGATGGTTGGCTATGCAGGATGAATGGAGAGAAAGACCAGGAGGGAAACGAAGCTGAGGGAGAGTGTGGATAAGTAGTTCAAGTCTGCAGAGAAAGCAAAGCAACGAGGGGCTAACAAACTGGAGAAAAGGAAAGGGGCCAAGGGACTATGGAAGCTCGGACTGGCTGGAGAGCGGGCAAATGAGAAGCAGAATGAAGGTGAACAGGTAAGTTGTGGCTGAGCCTCTGCTACACTAAAATTCAGGATCTGAAAATAAGCAGGTCTGTGTGATAAAGCCCAGGATATGACACCAAAGTGAGTCACTTAACTCTGGTAGAAATATAAAGGTCACTTGAATAGAAAAAGCCAGTAAGGCTTGTTATAATTTGAATCATTCACATGGATGCATTTGAGCAGAGTGATGGCATGAATTTCCTGGGTAACACTGCTTTCATGCTATTCTTTTTAATAAAGTTGATTGATTACTAAACTTCATTTTTTAATATCTTTGTTTAGATTTTCATATATATAAACATAAACACGTAAAACACACACTCACACCCCCATTTCTAGTTTAGCATATGAGGTCACGGCTACATAGACAACTTTTTAAGAGGCCCTTACAAATGACAAGTGAAATTCTTCAAAGATTAATTGAATATCAAATACCAAAAGCAAAACCAAATTAGATTATCCTTTTATGCTAGGCTTCCAAATAAAATTAAAGTCTGGTCTTCAGCTAGTTTATCATGTGACATTAAGTAGAAGAAGCAGCAGCAGCCTGGCCAGGGTGGCCCAGTGGTTGAGTGTCAACCTATGAACCAGGAGGTTCGGGTTTGACTTCTGGTCAAGGGCACATGTCTGGGTTGTGGGCTTGATCCCCAGTGGGGGCCAATCAATAATTCTCTCTCATCATTGATGTTTTTCTCTCTCTCTTCCTCTCCCTTCCTCTCTAATATATATATTTAAAGTAGAATAAGAGAAAAAATGCAAACTACACACCCCCAAAAAGTTTCTAGAAAATTAAACCAGTCATCACATTCTGAACCATTTCTAGGCCCCTTAAGCCTACAATTAATTAATAGTAAGACAAATTAGCCTGGAATAAAATATGCTACAGAAATATATAATGATTAAAAAGTAAAATTACTGCATTTATGGCAATTCTGGACATTTACAGCACCATTCGCCATTTACCAGAAAAAAAAATGACTTATTCAGATATATCTTAAATAGGTTACCACAAACTCTAATGAATTGTTTAATTCTATGTTGGATGCAACATCAAGACTATCATATATTTCTTAAAGTAGCTGCCAGTGGAGCATAATGTATTTTTTTCTTTTTGTTATACAGAGGGGTTAGTATTTTGTACTTGTTAGAGGTTGGTGTGACTATTACATTTACCAGGTGCCTGAAAGATAAAAGGACAATTTCTGAATACCAAATTCCACTTTCCCACCAGTTTATATAAAATTAGGTTCTTAAAAAAAAAGGAAAGAAAATGTTGGTATTAAGACAAGTCATGCTTAAAAATAAACCTCCAAAAACTATTCCAAGGTGGTTGTAACTGTAAATGTCCCCCACGCCTGCACGGCCCACACAACCCTAGACTCCTGAATACCTGGGAAGTAACTCCCTTCCAGAAAATATTCCTCTTGGAAACCCACAACTCTTCTCTAGCTTCACTTTCAGAAAGCTTCCCAAGTATCCTTACATTTTTCAACTGTTCAAACTTTCCTAACTCAAATACGAAGCCACTAATTATAGACCATAATTTGCATTATGTGGACAGATGCTGACTATACTAAAAACATGATTTCAAATTTCATAAGCAATTTTTGATATCACAAAGTTTCCTGGAAATTAAAGTCTTACATTTCCCCCAAACATACTACTACTCCATCACTCTTTTCAGTATATACAGGGTGGGGCCAAAGTAGGTTTGCAGTTGTGAGACATAAAACACAAGTTTATTCTTGTATTATTTTCCATAGGAACAACTGTAAACCTACTTTTGCCCCACCCTGTATCGTCTCTTTAAATACTAATGGTTGGGCCCTTCTCTCACATAAAAATGCTGTCTTGTATCTTCCCACTTTGATAAATATCTAAGGAATAATAACAGTTACCACTTATGGCATGTCTCTTGTATGCCACTGAACGAGATAGGCATGACACATAGTAATTTTATTCTCTGAGTTTGTCAACGAGCCCCATTTTACAGAGAAGGAAATAATTCTGAGAAGTTAAACGACATGCCTTAGGACCTAAAGCTTAGGTCATCCAGTTTGCAAGCTGTAAAGCTCTAACTTGAACATGGAACCCTTAAGCTCTAGCATCTATGCTTTGATAGTATTTCTATATTGATTCTACATTTTGGCTAGTAATATAGTATCTATGATTGCTTTGTCAATTTCACCATAAATCCTGACATGTCCTCAATATAGTCACACAAAAGGCTTAGCTCTACTGCAAAAACATCGACTTTTCTATTATTCTAGCACAATTACTGTCATTCTATAATTGTTAACTTGGAGATTTATCTGCAGTTTTTTATTTCTTATTTACTTATTTTCAATTTATTGATTTTAGAAAGAGGGCGAGGGAAAGGAAGAGAGGAAGAGAAACATCGATTTGTTGTTTCACTTACTTATGCATTCATTGGTTTCTCCTTGTATGTGTGTATGTGCCCTAATCAGGGATGGAACCCAAAACCTTGATGGATGGGACAATGTTCTAACCAACTGAGTTACCTGGCCAGGGCTATAAGTAATTATTTTAAAATAGAAAAACTAACCTGGTCAATTTTTCCTTGTATGTAGATAACATGCTTTCAAATCCTAAAACTGTAACATATGGTAAGAAAAATGTACAACTTGCACAAACTTCCCTTTCCTGTATATCACTTTAATGTTCTTTTCAACTGACCCTAAAAACTTTTTAGATCATTGTTGTATCTATTTAGCTGTACAAATTTTACATATTTACATAAGGGCAAAAAACCACTCTGTTAAAAAAATCATTAACACATGAGACAAGGTACAGATGGTGAATTTCCCTAGAATTGTGATAAGACAATGTGAAATATCTTACATAAAAACAAAGTTAGCCTTTTCTAAGGGTCAGTATTCCTGATTTATATTCCATTTAATTCAAAGCATTGTAAACATACCTTGCAGTTAACAGTACTCCTATATTATATCTTTAAAGTGAGGAATTCTTTTTTTTAAAAAAAAAATATTTTTATTGATTTTAGAGAGGAAGGGAGAGGGAGAGAGACATAGAAACATCAATGATGAAAGAGAATCACTGATCGGTTGCCTCCTGCACACCCCACACTGGGGATCAAACCTGCAACCTGGGCATGTGCCCTGACCGGGAATCGAACCGTGACCTTCTGGTTCACAGGTTGACGCTCAACCACTGAGCTATGCCGGCTGGGCTAAAGTGAGGAATTCTTACCATATGGAGATAATCAGTAATTTATACAAAGTAGTATTTCTTTTTTGAAAAATATTTCTATTTATTGATTTTAGGAGAGAGTGGGAGAGGAGAGAGAGAGAGAGAGATATCGATTTGTTGCTGCATTTATTTATACATTCCTTGGTTGATTCTTGTATGTGCCTTGACTGGGGATTGTATTGGCAACCTTGGTGTTTTGGGACAACGCTCTCACCAACTGAGCTACCCGGCCAGACCACAAAAGTATTACCTCTAATAACAAAGCAGAAAGTACAAATAAACAGAAAATTGAGAAAAGGAGTACAAATGTCGAGCACTGCACTTTTAATAACGTCATGCATTCACATGGTACTCGTATGGCGCCTTCACACCACACTATGGGACCCTGGCACCCCCGCTGTGAGAGCAGCACAGATGATGTTCTGCCCTGACTCGGAGCGGAACCCGGCTGGGCCTTTGGTCACCGAGCAGGTAAGCAGCGCGGGCCCAGCCGGCAGCGGAGCGAGCTCCCTTCCACCTTTCCTTCCTCTCCACCTACTCCCTCCTCCGCAACAGACGAAGCGGAAATCAATGACACCGCCAGGAACTTAAAAAAATCTACATTCAGACTTCGAGCAGCCCATTTGAAGAAAAGCAAACATAAACTACGTATTAAGTTACCCGATAACAACATTAAAAAGCCTATATGGACTACATTGAAAAATTTCACTCATCCTTTGGTCACTGGCAGCCTCGTTCCACTAGTTTTTTTGTTTTTTTTCCAAGAATTCGTAACGTCCCTCATTCAACAAATAGTTCAGCAGCTGCTACACCCAGGCCCTATTCCGGGCCCTGCTACACCGTCGGCCTCTACCTTCCAGGAGGGGGAACGGGGGCGGGGGTCAATAAGTAAGGTAAGTACATGGGAGAGGGCGCAGGGGCTTTGGAGAAAAATACAAAAGGGAGAGAAGGGAGGGACTGGCGTGTGTGCTGGGGAGCGAGCCGGAGGTTGCCGCCTCGCCAAGCGCATCACCCACAGGCAACAGCTGTCGGCGAGCCCTCCGCCCCGGGGCCGGGGGAGGGAAGGAACGCACACCTCCCGGCACCTGCAGCCTCTCCCGCCGCCGGGGGCCACAGCAACCGCCCGGCCCCTCGGCCCTGCGGCTCACGGCCCCGCTGTCGGGACCAGCTCTGGCTTCTTTACGGAGGAAGCCAGCGGC